CCCTCCCCCCCCCATAAAACCCTGATCTTTTGGGACCCAATGGAAGCCGGCCAAGTGCAAAATCCAGACAATTTCAGAAATTAACAATATATTGTGTGGTGTGTGTGTGGGGGGGGGGGATGGGGCGTCCGGTTAGTTTTTGGGGATTTTTTGTAAGTGTTTTACGGCGCTCGCAACTACATAAGGTCATACGAGCGCGGTGGACACATTCAACTTTTTCAGTTGGTAGGAAATTTTGAATTTTGCCCGGGTGGCGGCCGAAGCCTACTCTTATCGATTTTAGACCACCAAGGAATCTTTAACGTGCGCAACTTTCACACGGGTCCTCTGAGATTTTTCACCCTTGTCCGAAAAGGCAAGGTGTAGATCTTTCCTACTAGAAGATCAGGGGTGTGGCAGAAAGACAGCAGTGAGAAGGAGCCAAGGAGTAGCAGTAGAAAGGCTGCAGAAAGAGTCAGGAGCCCAGAGGAGGAGGCAGAAAGAGGACACGAAAGCAGACGACAGAACATTTCTAGAGAGCTGGAATTGAGGTGAAAGGAGAAGAAATTTTTTTTCATTCACTACCCGGATTCGAACCCGTGGCCTTTGAAAGAGAGGCCAACACCTTAACCTCTAGGTATTATGGATCTTAAGCCGACAGTTGAGAATTTCATTGAAAGAAAGGAATCAAATGAGCTAATGCTGAGAGTGAGAGAAGCCAGCGTCAGATGATTACTAATCTAAAAAAATTACAGAAGAGAGAAATACAGTTCCGAGGACATTTCAACCGGCATAAAAGCTCAAGACATCTTGCTCCGACTGGCAAAATAGACGGCAAAAGAGGTAGAGGTAGACCAAGCATAACTTTCTGAGGGAAACTCGAACAGACGGTCGATGAAAAAAGCCCAGAATAAAACAAATTTTATTTTAGACCATACGGACCAATGTGGCAAACTGAATTCATTTCATATTTGTGTCATGACATGTTGGAATCAGGCACTCGTCAATATTTGGGCATGTGGAGTTATTGGTATCACCTGAAAGCTGATTTATTTGCCTTGCTTCCAATGAAATAAATACCTATTTATCTTGAAAAAAAACTCCAGATATTTGTGATTGAAGGAAACGAAATCGCTTGGTTTCAGTGGTGAAATTAGTGAGAAAATGGCCGCCAAAGTTTGGTTACTCCAATAGCTAAAGAGTCATTGAAAACTGAAAAATGACATATTTTGTGGTTTTGATCAATGTTTATAAGTAAAATTCCCATTGAAATGTGTTTTTATATGGACATAAAAGAGTTAAGCCAAAAGATAAAAATTCGATAAAAATTTCCATACTAGCAGAAAAATGCCCGTTTCTCAGATTTCATTATTTTGACAAGCGCCCGATTTCACCTCGTTGTCTCATATTTTATTATTATTATATAGCAATTGAAGAAAAAGTACTGTAGTCAAAGTCAAAGGTCTTCCTCTTTCTCTTAAATAAAATCTTGGCTGTACAGTTTTGCAAGAGGCATTATTGAACTTGTACAATTTTGCACATTTCATTTTACAGTGCTGGAGCCAAAGCTTTCAATGAGAAGGACCTATGTGTTTGTGCAAAAGCATAAAGTATTTTAAGCAAATTGCCATCTAATTTGTATTTAAAATTTTTCCAGAAACAGTCCCCATTCAGAAAAGCTGAGGCAAATATGGAATTCAAGAACTCTTTTGCAATGGTCAAGAGTCGCCTAATGATTAACCCTTTCACTGCTAGTCTTGAGACAGTCTTAGGCTCTTTGCAAGGACTGCGGAGCAGGCTTAGCAGTGAGAGGGTTAATATGTAATACCTTTAAAGTGAATGTTCCAGTTCCAGTGGAAAAGGTGTTGGCCAACACTGCTCTTCCCAGATTTAACCTTTCTAAAGCATTTGTCAGTTAAAGTGTTTCTGTAAGACAGATTAAAGAAATATAAATTTTAATGGAATTAGACAACAGGAAATAAGAAACAGAAGCAAGACATCAATAAAGGAATGCTATTATTGGTTTATTGTTCAATCATGTATTATTTTTAAAATGTTTTAACAATCAGTAAAAAAATAAAACAAACAAAAGTTCATTAGACTACAAAATGGATTAAAAAGAAAGAGGGAAAAAATTCAAGCAATTTGAGACAATGGGTACATTTAAATCATACATAATTCTCTAAATAACAATAATAAATAAAATTCAAGTGATTTGGGACAAGGGGTACGGTTAAATCATACATAATTCTCTCAATAACAATTACAAGAAATCAATCAAGAAAAATCAACTGGGAAAGCTAATCAAACAAGGGTCGTTGACATCAAAGTGATGCTGTCCTTGGTGAACCAGTCTAAGCATCCGAATTGCCTTGTTCTTGGTACATAGGGTTCTCCAAAGACATGGAAGCATTGCTTAACTGGACACCCTGATGGAAAAAACAAAAACCCAAAAAAAAGTCAGTATAAATCAACTTTAGAATGGTCAAACAGGTAGAAAAAGATTATAGTCAATAGGACACCTTGATGAAGAAATAAAACAATATAAAAAATTGACACTAGAATGCTCAAACCGGTAAAAGAGGGTCGTATCCGACAGGAAACCCTGATGGAGAGACAAACCCCCCGCCCCCCCACAAAAATCGACTATAGGATTAAAATGGTCAAACAGGTAAAAAAACATTGTTGCTAATCAGATGTCCTGATGAAGAGATGAAAAAACCCAGCAAAAATCACTTTAGAGCGGTCAATCCGGTAGAAAAAGATTGATGTCAATAGGACGCCCTGATGAAGAAATAAAAAACATTTAAAAATCAGAGGCCGGAAAAGTAAAAAACTAAAGATAAGTACAACAACAAAACTTCACAAGGCACTCACCGTGCCAGCGTTGTAGCTCTCTTTCTGTTCCTCCAAAGATGGAGGCTCTATATCCTGCATGGCGTACTGAAAACAAAACCATGGAAATAAAATTAATTGACATTTCTCAGAGTTTATTGAAAAGCAGACCGGTTCATAGTGATAATATGTTGAGATGGAATGTAAGAGAAAGAAAGCAGCATACACAAAATATCACAGCACAGTATAACCCCTAGGGCACTGAGGGGAGAGGAGGGAGGGGGTGGGGACAGAGTGAATATGCTGGCAATAGGAGTTACTGCAAAGACAGTGTGCCTTGTTTGGGAAAATATAACAACTGTAATTACAAATATAGTTGTTTTACATCCCTATAGTGACACAAATCAGATCATCTGGAAAGTGCACTGTTTTGACCATACCAGTCATAGCCCATCAGGGTGGTGAGGGATACAATGATGCAGTAAAAACTTGGGGGTTTCTTTTTAAAAATAAATCTCCCTACTCAAGAATTGAACGATTTTCTTTTTCATACAGCTATGACAAAGCATGTGAATAGTTACAAGCACTTCAGACACTGGCAAAAAAAAAGCAAAAAAAAAGCAGTATAACTTCAACTTAACACTCTGGTACAGTACATACCCCTCCTCCACTGCCGTAGTCATAGATCGGGTTATTCAGGCCTCCCTCTTCGCTCTGATCATTTCTTCGGCCTAACCTTCGGAAGCTAGAACCTGGGAGTCTGGCACTGATGGATGTCCAGTTGACGGCCGGACTGTGGATGTACATTAGATGTCAATAGTTTGTTCCCTCATTTTTATTTTTGCCATATCCCCTAACAATACATAAACCTAGGATAAAAATTTGTCAAAATAATCCCATGACTGAAAAGCAACATCGGCCAACAACACCAGAGTACTTTGGGTACACTTCACACATATCAGAACCGATTACTCTTCAACTTTAATATGCTCAACATTTCCTGATAATTTTAAAATGGGTATTGACAAACAAACAAATTTGTTTTTTAATTTTCAGTACTCAAAGTATATTTGTGACTAATGGGATATTTTCATTTTCAGCTAGCAATGTAAAATTCTCATTCCTGTTTCAATGGACAGGGGCTTATCAAATACCTTTTTAGTATTTTCTAACATGAAATAAATTATAGAAATTGTTGCAATTTCTCTCTTAACCCCCTCAAATCTATTTTAAGTTTTATCAGAATAGCAACCTGTATAAGACAATCAAATTACAAATGGCACCTTCCTATTTCCTCTCTTGCTTTTTTTTTTACATTTTAATGACAATTATCTAAGAAGAGCACTTTTCTCCCCGATAAGTAATCTAAAAATCCTTTCTCGTATACTTACACTTTGTTGGTCTTGCGTAAGTAGACATAAACAGAAACACAAACGATGACTACAAGAACCAGAGGGACGACCACACCAACTGCAGGCTTCCAGTCATCTAAGATAAAGGCAGCAAAACATTGTTTACAATTGGTACTTTTTAAATTTTCATGAAAGTAAGAACATTCAAACCAGGATTCGGCACTTATATGACCTTATTGTGTTGCAAGTGTCGTAAAATGCTTATTAAAACTAAAACTAAACCAGGATTCAATACTGGTGAAAGTAGGAAAGCAGTATTATGGTTCTATTGTATTCTAATAATCCACAAACACTGTTTTGTTAAAATAGAAAATGTTATTTTTGCTTAAAGGCAAGTGAGATCAGCATTGTTATCAAATACTTATGGTTTCCTGAATTCCATCTTCAATTTGTGACGAATATTGTCAACATCAACCGTCTTTAAAAACGCTTAATATGGGATACTTTGATATGAATGTAAAGGACTTTTCAAAAATGTAAGACAAACTAAACAAAGGCAGGGCCTCCAAAGTTAACGGGAACTCTTGAGGCTAATAGCATGGACAGCTTCAAGAAAGCATTAAGAGAGAGATTCAAACAAAGGTCACCTACAATGCGGTCCAGCACGATACTGAATGAGCTACTCTGCTAAAACCAGTTGCCATAGTTATAAGCAAAGCACCTGTCATTTCTTGCATTCCTGAGAGCCTGCTTATCTCTATAATGGATCTCTATACCCTATCCTTTTGTGTGGTTATAAGCAAAGCATAATCAACACCTGCCATTTCTGCTCGAACTAAGAGCTCTTTTGTTCATTATGTATCTATATAATTATATCCATCTTTCCTCATGGTTATAAACAAAGCATTGTCAACACCTACTGTTTCCTCCAACACTGGCAGCTTTTTTGTTTAATATAGGCCTACATTGTATCTCTTTACCCTACCTTTCCCCATTGAGAAAAATGTGGAAATGGTAAGACAAAAACGTCTATTTCCGAAAGCTCCAAGCTAAGAGGGAAATTTCTGTTAAGTGCCTTTCCCAAGGATACAACGTTGGACCTAGCAGAAGCTTGAACCCTCAAACCTGCAATCTCACCATTACGTGTCTAGCAGCCTAACCACTAGGCCACATATGCCACTTTTCCCCCATTGTAATGAGCAAAACATTGTCAACACCTACCATTTCCACCACCAGTGAGAGCCTGGCCAGAGCGCCTAGAGACAGGAGTAGGTGTAGAACTAACTGGAGGTGGGTTTTCGCTACTGAACTTGGGACCAGGCGCAGGAGTAGAGCTTGGGGCGTTAGTTCTTGGTGCTGGTGTAGGTGTTACTGGACGAGGAGTTGGTGTGGACGATTTTGCAGGAACTTTACATCTGGGCCCACCAAAGCCTCCAACACAGCTAGATGATAGATGAGAAAGTAATAATAATAGATAGCATTTGTAGGCTAAAACACTAACATACTGACAGGATCTTTCCTTGACTATAGTCTGGTACCCATTCGTACTTAGGCGAAGTGAGGAAAATATGTGTCACGACGTGGTGGAATCAGGCGCTCGTCAATTTTTGGTCATAAGGAGTTATTGGTATCATCATAAAGCCTGTCCATTTGTCTTGCTCTTGGTGTAAAAAAAAATCCATTAATGAGGAGTAGAAGTCGATATATTTGCGATTGAAAGAGGTCAAGGTTTCCTGGCTTCAGAAGTAAAATTATCGAGAAAATGCCCGGCAATGCTTGGAAATTTCCATAGCCTGAAAGTCCATGGAAACTGAAAATTTACATTTTTGGTGCCTTTAATCAATGTTTTTCGACATTGAAATGTATTTTTAAATAGATATAAAAGATGTTGAGCCCCCCCCCCCCCCCCCCAAAAAAAGAAAATTAGGAAAAATTGCCCAAAAGTCAGAAAAATGCCAATTTCTTTGATTTCATTATTTTGACGAGCGTCTGATCTCACCACAATGCCTCACATATAATAATAGATAGATAGCATTTGTATAGCACAAATTCCTCCTTAACAGCAAGCTCTATGAAGAGCTTTACAATCTATATCATTACCCAAGACCTATAATAGTAGCATTCTGAAACAATCTCAACTTCCTGGGAAGCATACAATGCAAGTTGCCATTTATAGGCGCTAAAACACTAACATACTGACAAGATCTTTCCTTGTCTATTGTCTGGTACCCATTCCCACCTAGGCAAAGTGAGGAAAATTTGTGTAAAGTGCCTTTCCCTAGGACAGAACAGTGGGCCCGCGGCTCAAACTCCCCGAACCTGCAACCTCATGATTACGAGTCCGGTAGTCAAACCACTAGACTACCAGTGCCAACAAATAAGCATCAGACATCCAGTACAACAGCTGTGATCTAAACTTTGTGTTTTTTCTCAAATTCCCTAAAGAAAAAAACCCAAAATAACATGAGAATGCTTTCATTTCTAGAGTTATAATAAACAACATTTTATTCCGAGAGTAAATAAGCTTAAAGAATTTCTCAACTGAACAAAGCACTGTAATATCATCCCATCTGAAAACTTGACACAAAACATTTAAATTCTGTATTTCCGTGAACAAAAATCCTGACGTTTTCTGAACTTACGACAAATCAGGATACCGCTAACACCTCCCAATACTTTAATAGAAAAAAAATACAGAGAAGTTAAGGTTTCATAATCTTGGACAACTATGATCAGTGGGACATGGTACACATTGGGGGTCAAGATTTAAATCCAGGTCAACATATATATATATATAGCCTAATGTGGAGTTGGTATGCTGTATTTATATATCGTCCTCTATAATTCCACTTAGCAGGGAGAGAGTTCTTTACCTCTTTATCTCCGAGGGGGGTAAACCCACTATGCCGGGGCATTTTTGGGGTACTAAATTTTAAAATGACGAAAACGTCACTAAATGGGTCATTAAATCGAAACTAGCAAACCTATTATGAAAGTACTTCATCTAATGAATGAACTTCCGGTAAAAGAAACCTGTTTCCGGCAATTGCTTCCAAAAAATAAGCTGATGTCGAAGTCATCGTAAAAGAATGAGCCCAAGCCGCTGTCTGCAGCTCACCAGCACAGCAGTTCTGACCCCGAGCCGCTGGGAGCGGCTTGCCGGATATAAAGAGTTAAGAGTGCAACCTTACTAGAATGAGTCTCCGAGTGACATAAAAGCCCAGCAAACAAACTAGATACTGTTATGTGGGCATGTTATTGTACAGTGTACAGTCCAAATCTGGAACCCCATTTATTTATTCAGGTCAGAGGCAAAAAGAACAGATTACACTCTCCTCTATTCCAAGAAAAGATTTGTAAACTATAAGTATAAGGACACTTTGTATGTGTGGAGTAGCTTTACTAGTCCCTGCATTATTTTTCTAATTTTGCAGGCGGAAGCTTTCACACTTTGAAAGGGGCATATGGTTCTCAAATAATGTTTAATCAACAAGTTGTAATTGATTTGTAACAGTATAACAACAATAAATGCTTCAAGAAGGCCGTAAACACCCTGGGCAGAAAGAACAAAGTGTTTCTTAACTCACCGGCATTTTCTGATTTGATTCGAGTCTTGAAGACATTGGCCACCATTGGAGCAATAATTGGTGCAGTCTGAAGAGAGAAATAAACACCAGAAATGTCTTCACTCCTTTTTGGTATTTCAACTTTACTCACCTTTTGATAAAATCAGAGGTATAGTTTGCTAGACATGATTGGAGAAAACAGAACATAAAGATAATGTGATGTGGGCTTCATAAACTTTTTTGATTCTGTTAACTTTTAAGAAGAAGAAGAGGAGGAGTAAGATATTGTATTATGATATACATGTAACTCTCCGACTCTTTTGTTAAGGTACTACATGAGATAGGCAAAATTCTTTTACAGTTTAAGTTTTCTCTTTAGGCTGCACTGCTAAGCCTGAAATTACAAAAGCTAGCAAACTTGGCAAACAGATTAAATGATATAGTCACACGTAAGTGTAGATCTAAAGGAATTTTGAAAAGGATTGTTCCAGCACACACGTTTTAAATGTCAGTCCAGATTAAAGAGAAGCAACATATTAATGAGACAATTGTGATTTACAGATAGTGAAAAGCAACAAAAAAAATGGACTAAAATATCTCCAGCACCACACTTTAAATGTTTGTCTAGCTTAAAGAGAAGCAACATCAATCAGATAATCGTGATTTAGTGATAGGGAAAAGCAAAATTGACCAAAAAAGCTCCAGACAGAAGGTAAAAACATGATTACATCTCCGACAAGAGTTAGCCTCTAATCACCATATCATTTTATCATAAAGAAAGAAAACGAAATAACAAAAAATATCTTAGTAAAGGGAGCATTGAGCTTCAAAAATAAGAAAACAAAAGAACATAACGAAAAAAAAAAGTTGTTTGTACGCACTGCATCCTTTTTCATCAGCTGAATCAGAGCAGTCTGCAACGGCATCGCACTTCTTAGAAAAAGAGATACACTTGTTATCAGTTGTGCAGGCAAACTGGCCAGTCACACAAGCTGCTTTTGTCACCGGCCACGATGGAAGGGGTAGACTTTTCTCGAGTCTGAAAAACCAATTCAGTTTTGGTTTCTGTCAAGTCAGCACAATCATTATTGCATTTGGCTAGAATCACAGATCTTTTACTTTCTCATGGTGACTGATCGTCAATGTTTTAAAACCTCTCTGACGTAATGTTGATTATCTAAGTAGCTATTTCGCTTAGTTTTGCTTCCTCAGAACTACAAAGTTCTACGTCTGCTCAGTAGGCCTACCTAGCTTTGAGAAATTTGACGTCAAAATTTTGAGTTTCACATCATGTCAAGCTTTTTCTGACAGAATTTTTCAAATATCTTGATAAAGACTACAAAGAATCTCAATTGTGCTTTTTCTGATGGTTCCGATTACAAATCTTTCACAACCTGCCATTAGGAGCACTTCAGTATTTGTTTTCCTCTCCATTATGAAGAGAAAACAAAATGCAAAGTAAGTTCGTTCATGATTCCAGACACACAGGAACATACTACAGAGAAAAAGTAGGCATCAAGACTGTATACATGCTTGCGGGTGGGGGGGGGGGGGGGGGAGGGCTTGGTACGTATTAAAATGTCCCTCACAACTGCCTAAGGTCATTTGAGTGGGCAGGACACATTAATAAACATTTTCAGTTTGTTGGAAATTTCAAATTTTGCCTGGGTGGTGGCTGAAGCCTACTCTTATCAATTTTGGACCACCAAGGGATCTTTAAGGTGCGCAACTTGGACAAGGGCCCACCAAGATTTTTCGCCCTTGTCCGAGAAGGCAAGGTATAGACCTTTCCTACCAGAAGATCAGGGATGTGGCTAAAAGACAGCAGTAAGAAGGAGCCAAGGAGTAGCAGTAGAAAGACTGCAGAAAGATTCAGGAGCCCAGTGGAGAAGACAAAGGAAGTGAGGGGGGTAGGGGCAGAAAGTAAGACGAAAACAGACGACAGATCATGACCAGAGAGCAGGAAAGGAGGTAAAAGGAGACAATTTCGAGAAGAAAAATTTCCCGTCGCTATCCCGGTTCAAACCCGGGACCTATGGAATGAGTGTCGAACACCTTAACCTCTAGGCAACGAGAGCCCCCAAGCTTGTGTTTATAGACACAGCTTATTATACAGTCAGAGAAAACTAAGTGCAATTGAACACAGGCTTGTGTTCACAGACAGCATTATGTTAGAAAACTAAATGCAAAGAGAGGACGTACATGCATCCTGGTCCAAAGACGACGTCATCAATAGCCAAAGCACCGTCAGGGTCACCGGGGGTCCCCTGGAAGATGAGCTGGAATGGGCTATTTGAAATGACAGAGGTCATCATCAGCTGCCAGTAGGTACCTGCCACTGAGGTAGTGAGGTGCAGGTGCAAGTCTGGGCCTCCATTGCTGTGAGTCCTCAGTCCAACCTTGATGCTTTGCTTTGACGAGGGAATCAGGGCAAAGAAACTCACCTGTGGGTCGTACAAGAACAAGATCAGGGACTGATGGAAATATGCACAAAAAAGAGAGAGAGAGAGAGAGAGAGAGAGAGAGAGAGAGAGAGAGAGAGAGAGAGAGAGAGAGAGAGAGAGAGAGAGAGAGAGAGAGGGTGTCATAGCACGTGAGACATATTGTATTTACTCGGCCTAATGTCCTGTCTTGTGCGTTTGCGTGAGTGCACCTATAAGTGTAACTTTTGTAACGCCTACTGCCATTGTTAACGACCAAGACAAATTTCTCCCTGCGAGTTGAATAAAGATTGTCATTGTCATTGTCATTGTCAGTGTCATTTTGGAACAACAATGTTTTTATTAGACTAGTAAAAGAAATTGAATTATAGATATTTCTCTAAACTATGCCAAAAGTACTTCTTTTGCTTTTTTGAGATGCACTTTACAACAACTCACCACTATAAACGCTATTTTTTTCCAGTAACAGAATAAGACAGACATAACACAGATAGGAAGAAAATAAGCTGATCACTTGATCAGCTATCTAAATAGGAGAAAGTACAAACAACTAACAAATTTAAGTTTGCAAATCTGTACACACGTTTTTAGCTTTAGTGAGAGTTTTATGGCACTTGCAACACAATAGATTTCACATGTGTTGGTATATTAAGCAAAAAAAAACTGAGAAGAGTTTGTCAGCTACATTGGGAAAGCAAAGTTATGGGAACAACTTTCCAGGAACAGAATAAGACTGAAAGGAGGAGGGGACTCAAAGCAAAAATTGAAAAGACAGAGGACAAGTAGTGATGAAGAGTGGGAATTAAATAATAGTGGCACCAGATACCACAGCAAGAAAACAGTTTGTTCTCTCTCTCTCTCTCTCTCTCTTTCTCTCTCTCTCTCTCTCTCTCTCTCTCTCTCTCTGTCTCTCTGTCTCTCTCTCTCTCTCTCTCTCTCTCTCTCTGTCTCTCTCTCTCTCTCTCTCTCTCTCTCTCTCTCTCTCTCTCTCTCTCTCTCCCTCTCTCTCTCTCTCTCTCTCTCTCCTTTCTCTTTACCTCACACTTGGCAGGTGTTGTAGCGCCAAAAACATCAGTTACGAGCCAGGCACTGTCCCCAGTTCCCGTGTTGGGTTGACCTTTCACAAAGAGGTAGTGTCCGGAAGACAGACTGGTGCTGTGGTCAATGCCAGACAGACCAGGGATCAGAGGCTGGCTGGAGTCCCATCTTTGCCAGTCCAGCTGCTCAGAAGTCACCTGCTGCAAACCCCCCATTGACGTCTCAAACGTGAGGGAAGTGTATTTGTCACAATGGAGACTGGCATCAGTCTCGTCTGATTTGTCACCGCAGTCGTCTTGGAGATTGCAAGTCAACATTTTGCTCACGCACGCTCCAGAACTGGTGCACTTGAACTTATCATTTGAGCACGCACCGGAGGATTGGGGCAGTCCGCAACCTTTGAATTCCAAACTGTCCAGCGCCATCTGTCCTGAGAAGCTGGATGACTGGGCTCTGTTAAAACTGAGGGTGAATGGTGACGTGCGCCTGCCAATTCCGACATTAACGTGGGTCCACTGACCAGCACTCTTTGTTTGAGTCCAGAGAGTAGTTGTTAAGCCTGCAGAGTTGATGTTGAGGTTGAGACGACCTGCTCCAGAGCCTGACATAAAGTAACGGAAACTGAGAACACATTCAGCTGCCGCCAGTTTGAACTGTCCACTGGTCAAGCTAGCAACCTGGCCGGCTGTGTTGCCATTGTTCTTATCATTGAGGTAGACGTAGCCACCACTGGTGCCAGCGCTATCTCTACGGGGTCCTTTGCTTTCCGGGATTGAAGAGGGCTGGCCCTGCTGCCAGTCCAGGTTGTCTACTTGCATCTCCATCCAGGAGCAAAGGTTCGAGTCAAATGAGCACACCTTCAGATCGTGGCACACAGCTTCGTCACTGCCATCGCTGCAGTCTTTGTGGAAGTTGCAGACGTTCTTCTGATTGATGCAGGTGCCACTTGTAACACAGCGGAAATTTCCCCCGGGGCATGCGGGTTTGGGAGAGGTGATCTGTGGTTTGGCTGTGGTAGGTGATCCTGTAGGCGGTGGTGAGGCTGGCAGATTACAGAAGGGACTGAAGATAATGTCATCAACATTCATTGAGCTTGATGCACCTTTTCCATTGACAGATTCAAAGACAAGCTGATGCACATCATTGAGAGTGTAAGAGAATTTCTCTTTTTTCCACTGTCCTGTCACCTCGGCATTGATTATCTTGCGGTATTTTTTCAGACCACTGCTAGTCTCTGTGTAAATAGAAAGCTTTCCAGAGTCCATGCCAGCTGTCAAATACCAGAAACGGACCTCACACACTTGATCTATTGCAGGCATACTACGGGAAATAGAAGACGTTGAATTATAAAGATATGATGAGTATATGCTACCTGAGGACAGGTAATGGCCAAACTGAGACATAGTTGTGTGGTCATGCGTTGCCCTGCTCGAACTAGGGTAAGAGTATGATATACTTGAAATAAGCGGTTGTCTTATTGACCACTCTACACCAGTGCTAATTTTGGTTTTCCAGTCACCGAGACCATTTTCAAATGTCGAATAAGAAAACGGATAGCAGACACCATCCGCTTCATCAGAGCCATCGCAACAATCCCGGCTGAGGTCACATTTTTGGTCCTCTGGAATACAAGAACCATCAGTACAAGTAAATTCTCCAACCTTACACTGTCTTATGGCTGGACGCTCACAGTGCTCAAAAGCAAAATCATCAAGAAATATATCAGGAACGCCAGTGTGACGGTAACTTTTCAGGTTGAATATAATCTGACTGTCAGCTGCACAAGATGGGATCTTTACAGAGGCTTTAGTCCAGTTTGTCAAACCAGAAACTCGAGAATCCAAAGTAAGGGGCCACAAGAAAGTATCGAAACCTCTCTGTCTAAGCCCTACACTAAACATAGATGGCCTTCTCTCAGCTCGATACCAGAATGAGAAAGAACAAAGACGGTTTTGCGTGCTGAAGATGGGAGACTCAAGAGCAGTATAAGCAGAGTACAATGATGTGTTGGCTTTGGGATACAAGATGTGGCCATTTGCTGTGCCCGGCTTATGGTCATTATAGTTGAAGGTATTGCCTGGTGTTCTGACCCAGGAGTAGGAGCTTCTGGTAGCCTGGGTTCGCCAGCCACACATACCACTCTCAAAGTCACAAGAAGAAGGGCAGTCTTTCTCATCTGTGCCATCAGTGCAGTCCTGGTGGAAATCACACATTGCCTTAAGTGGCATACACTTGCCATCACAGAGAAAACCTGGGCCTGAAGCATGAGTACAGGAACCCGTGGAGGACACTCGAGGCCTAGCATCAGGTAATGAGTAGACACGAGTGGCAGGAAGACATTCAGGAGTGAAAGAAAAATCATCTAAGCCAATGTTGGAGCTCACTGAGCCTGGAGTCCCATCAATTACCACACGGAAAAGGCTGGAGTCATCCAGAGTGACCACTGCTTTCTTCCATTCATCACCTGTCTGTGCAGGTAAAGACCACTTTAGAGACAACGCTCCTCCTTCCTGGGTCTCGGTATAAACATTTAGTCTAGTGGTTACATTACTTTGGGCATAATAGAAAAAACGCATTTCACATTTTCCATTTGGATGAGGGAAAAATATCCTGCTCTTTAGTCTAGCTGTGTCATTGACTCCAGAATCAAAACGAGTGTTTATATACATGAAGCCTCCAGTCTGATTACCATATGTATGATCTCGTGCCAGATGGCCAACTGCTCCTGTTTGGTACTGGCCTTTTATCAAGCCCCAGTTCAGTTGCAATGTTCTGGAAATTACAAAGCCACATGTGCCCCTTTCAAAATCACAAAGAGTGTATGAATTGCACTTTTGTTCATCAAAGCCATTGGCACAATCTTTCGCGAGATCACATTTAACACCTGATGGTTTGCACTCAGAAGAACCGCTACATTCAAACTGGCCACTTCCACAGCTTCCAGTGCTTTGGGTTTTGAAGCAAGACTTGCTGAAAGATATGTCATCAATGGCAAGGCTATAGGAAGTGGGAGCACTCTTATACTCATATCTGAAGATTATCTTAAATCCGGGAGCTCTCGACCCTATACCAATAGTCCTCTTATTCCAAGTAGAGAATGCATATGGAGAGCTGAGGAGGATAGCTCCTTGGACAGACCTGTAGTCATTGGTATCTTTTGGATACAGGTACACCCTGAGACGGCCAGCTGTATATTCCATCATGTAATAAAACTGAATTTCACATCCGGCTTCTGTGGCCCCATATATGGGAGACTCCAAAATTGAGTAGCTGGCATAGCCAAGCCCAGTGTCTCGAACCAGGAGGAACCAGCCAGTTCCACCTTGACCTACCGTGTGGTCATGACTTGGCTTGATCATCACATCTGTTGAAGAGGAATTGACTCGGCTGAAGATGTATTCACCACTGCTCATGTCCCTCCAGCCACACTGTGAGGTTTCAAAATCACAAGCTCCGCAGTTCTGTTCATCGGAGTGATCCTGACAGTCATAGCTGAAGTCACATTTCTGAGACAATCGGATGCACTTGCTCTTGTCAGCACACTGCCACTGCCTGTCATCACCACATGGATTAGGAATAGTAGCAGCCGTAGAGGAGGGTATAATCAGTGTTGGTAGCTGCTGTGTCATGGAAAGCTTGCAGCCTGAAGAAAAGATGATATCATCTAAGCCTATGGCGTCAGTGGCACCATAGATGCCAGTGCTCGAATAGCCTAATACTGCTTCTAGAACAACCTGGAAGAGAGTGGTGCTGCTAAGAGGAATCCTGTAAGACTTCCAGAAATTACCAGGAGGACTCGGGACACTAAACACTTTAGACAGGAATCCCCCCACAGCCGTGCGAGTGTAGATGTTGAAATTTCCTACATCTTCATCAGACATGTGTATATGGACAATCATGTAACAGCCAGGTGAAGTTTGGTCCAAAATAGGACTCAGTAGCCAGGCTTTGTCCCCAGCAAACTGTTGAGAGTCCTGGAGACTGAGATAATGGCCGGAGGGCTCAGAAATTGTATGGTCTTGAAATGTTGAAAAAACGTGATATTTGGAAGTATCCTGGCTTTTCCGAGACCAGTCCAAATTATCTGCATAGGCCTCTTGAGTCCAATTGCAGAAATCGACTTCAAAATTACACCTATGGAAAGAGGCACACGTTGTTGAATTCTCATCACTGCCATCTCCACAATCGTTAATAAAATTACACTTCAGGCTCGGGTTGATGCAAGCTCCATTCTTACACTTGAACGTGTTGAGTCCCTTACAGCTGTCACCAGGTTGAGGATAGCCACAGTTTCTGAACTTTATGTCATCTACAGAGAAAGAGTTATAGCCATAATTAGTACTTTCAGAAAAGATCACAGAAAAGGTTGCACTAGAGCTACCCAGTGGTATCACTTGTTGCAGCCAGCTATTTCCAAGGGAAGCTTCAGTTGTCCAAAGTGTCACTGTCTGTACTCCCTCCTTTCTCTTGACCCTAAAATGTCCGGGATTTGTACTTTCTGCATAGAGGTAGAACACAAGCTCACAAGTTGGAGCAGATCTCCGCAGCAAAGGACTGTTGTAACTGATTTCTTGGAAACTAGAACCAGACGATGAAGAAGACAAGTAGTTGCCATTTGCTGATCCCAGAGTGTGGTCAAAGTCTGGGCCTCTTGAAGAATTTAGTCCACTGATTATTTCCCATTTTTGGCTGTATCTGAATCTCGCATTTTTCCATTTGCACTCAGAGCTATCAAAACTGCAATCATAGCCACAATCTTTCTCTTCCTCACCATCAGAGCAATCATAGACAAAGTCACAGACTTGGGAGAGAGTCAAATACTTGTTGTCTTTGCTGCAGTGGAAGGCATTTTTAGTTTGCGCTGGCATTGGCAGAGACTCACAGGTTCCATTTTGTATGCTAATATCATCAAGAGCAATAAAACGAGACCTAGAATTGCCAATAATTCCCAGCAAGACGACAGTAAACTCCTCATCTAGAGCCTTCAGTGTCACACGTTGCACCTTCCACATTCTGGTACTGGTGTCCGGGATGCTCAGCAGAGTGCTATTGGCAGCCAGCTGTGACATAGGCACCACTGTGACATTTAGAGAGCCCTGGCCTTGGCCGCTTGTGTAAAACCAAAAGTTGAGGCAGTAGTCAGTGTGTGCACTCAGAGTAGGAGATGTCAAGCGTGCTGTTGAGCCTTGCGCAAAGTTTGAGATCCTTGACATCACCATGGAGCCCCCGTAGATGGTATTCTGAGTGTGGTCCAAATTTGGACCATAGGTCATATAGGTGGAGAAACTCCTTCGTCTGATCCAGTCAAGGTCATCATCATCCTCGCTGTTGGTCCAGGTGCACAATTCCCCTTCAAAGTCACAAGTTCCCAGACCTGGGCACATCCCTGGCATTAAGATGATGTCATCAAGTGCAATGTCACCAGTATAATTGCTACCCATAATTCCTTCAAAGATGATGCGGAAGTGCAGACTGTCCGACACCGTGACTGTGGCTTGATGCCATCGAGTGCCTTGAGGACCAGATTGAGACCAGATTTCTTGGGCAGATTGTTCCAAGGTGCCATCTTCATACTGCAAGAGATTTAGAGTACCCATCCCTGCACCATTCATAGAATACCAAAAGACCAGGCAAGAGGCTGTGGTAGGATCAAGCAAAGGTGTCTCAATCTTTGCTGACTGACCAGGGGTTCGGGAGGATGCCTCGGTATAAATGTAGTGGCCTTCTCTTGTCAAGAAAGAGTGATCTGTCTGGGGCCCTGTGTTAACGCTTAAAGTCCTAGATGTTTTGAGGGTCCAGTCAAAGTCATCTCCTGCCAACTGATGAAAGTTACAAAGACCGTCTTCAAAGTCACAACCAGGTTGATGCGGACAGTCCCCTTGATTCATGCTGACATCGTCCACAGCGATTATGCTTGTAAAGCTTGAGCCACCAGAACCTTGGATGACGACATGTGTATCCCCATTCATATCCTGGACATGTACTTGAGCAAACTTCCATTCTGGGCCTCGAGTGCCAAACCGAGTCCAGAGCAGTTCTCTTATGCCGTATGATGACTTGGCGTAGATGCTGAGTCCATCCACTGTTGTTCCATACATGAAGTACCAGAACTTAAAGCAAATTCCTCCACTAGAAATTGCAACAGTCGGGCTCTCTAGCATGGCTATATTTGTTCCTTGACCAGTCCCCCTCACATATATGTAGTGACCACTGGCATCCTCATGTGTGTGATCAGAAGGTGGCCCAGAAAGCTGAGTGAATTGACCACTTCTAGTATACCAATCTATGTCATCCGTCTTGCTTTGTTTCCACAAACAAAATCCTTCCTCAAAGTCGCAGTTCAAAGATGTTGGAGGATAACTTGCTAATGTACTTTGTGGTGTTGTAGGTCTTGGGGTGTACACCGTTGGACAGCGATAGCCAAAAGTCCTCACATCATCTATAGCAATATCTCCTGTGTAGTTCCCACCATAGGTAGCCTCAAACATAATCTCAAACGGACTAGACTCTGTAAGTGCCACCCTGGCTATTTTCCAAGAATTTCCTTGATCCCCACCCAAGTCCCATTTTTTATTAGTCACATTGCTAGAGGATGACCTTGTGTACACAGTCAGGTTACCAATTCCAGCTCCATACATGTTGTACCAGAACTCCAAGCAGCTTGTGGAGCCGGAGAACTGTACAGGATCACTCTTTAAAATAGCATTGTCTCCAAGTCTCAAGCTTCGCGAAGTCTCAATGAATGTGTAGGTACCCAAGGACGTCCCTCTCGTGTGATCAACTTGCGGACCTGTCTGGAGAGAGCCTGTGGGACCTCTGTTCAGCTCCCAGTCAAACTTGTCGCTGCCCTGCACATTAACAAAGCCACAAAAGCCATTATCAAAATTACAATTAGCAGGACTTGGACAAGAGCCATACTCAACAGATATATCGTCAATTCCGATGTTTCCCTTATAAGACTTTCCAACTACACCTTCAAATTGAAACTCCAAGGGTGAACTTCTGCCATATACTTTTACAGTGGCTCTGTTCCATGTGTTTCCTTGATCCCCTTCCAGATGCCAGATTTGAGACCGTGAATAGTTGCCCAACTTTTTGTACACCCTCAGAGCTCCAATATCTGAGCCATACATATGATACCAGAAAGTCAAGCAGGCAGAGTAGAGATGATATGTTTTTGTCTTTAAGACAGCAGTTTGATTTTGGGTTTTTCCAGACACATCAATATAGGCGTACTGTCCAGAACTTGAGCCAAAGGTGTGGTCGGTGCTTGGGCCTGTACCAGATGATGCGGTTAACCTACTTCCAAGAGACCAGTCAAAGTCATCGTTAGTCTCTTGCACCAAGTCACAGAAGCCGAAGTCAAAGGTGCACTCTCGCAGCGATGGACATTTTCCACGAGTAGTTGCAATGTCATCAATGGCAATACCACCACCACCAAAAGAGCCTGCTACAGTGGCTCTGAAAAGTAATTTGTACCCTTTGGTCATGTTGACGAAGACGTTTTGCTGAAACCACCGGTCACCAACAGTCCCTGTATGTGACCACAAAACATCATCAGTACCATAATCATAAGTAGCCTTCAACTGTAAGGTACCAATATCATATCCATGCATATATGCCCAGAACGAGAAGCAGAAGCCAGAGGGATCAGTAGCAGGGGCTTGAAGGCTTACAAGATCTGCTGTGTCATTTGCCTTGCGGGACATATCGTCTACCACATACATGTAATACCCCCTGCCTCCATGTCCACTTTTTGGACCTGTGCCAAATATAAAGCTCGAGCCCGTTTGTCTTGTCCAATCAAAAACATCCCCATTTTTTTGTTTCCAGTTGCAAGTGTTTGAGTCAAAACTGCAAGCCAAACTGGGTGGGCGTTCTGCAGCTCTACAGTACTCAAAAACAATGTCATCAATGGCAGCGTAATCTTGATTGCTTGCAGTCCTAGTCTGATCGGCTTCAAAGGAAATTTCAACCTGGGCCCCTTCAGGCATGGGGCCAGCAAAGCGTCCAATGTAAGCAGAGACAGAACTCCAGCTTATTGCGGAGCTGGGCCTGGTCCACACTAGCACCATGTTACCTCCTATTCCAACAGAGACATTGAGCCTACCAGCACGTTGTCCAATATGGTACTTGAACTTCAATGTGCATGTACTACCAATGGGCCCAAGGGGAGGCGAGCGGATCACAGCTGGTGACGACAAAAGACCATAATCTGGCCGAACATAAATGTAATGTCCTTTGGATGTCTGCACATTGACGTCAGTCCTTGGCCCAGCTACTCCCATCATCTGAAGGTAGCTCATGGACCATCTGTATGGACCTGAGCTTGCGTACTTCCAGCCACATAGACCTGCTTCAAACGTGCAATTGCCGCAGATCAGTTCATCTGAATTATCAGCGCAGTTTTTCTTGGAATCGCAGACAAAAGCCGGAGAGATGCATTCTCCACTGTTACAACGGAAACTACCACTGGCGCAGGGAGCCAAGGTGCTTATAGTGCTAACAGCATAGCCTGGTGTGGGAAGAGTAGAACCAGAAGAGAGCATTTTACAGCCAGAAGACAGTGATACATCATCAATGGCCATGTCGCCTTCAAAAGACCCAGCAACGCCTTCCAGAATCACTCGGAAAGGTTTGCTGCTGCTGAGGGAGAGAATCTCCCGATCCCAGAAGTCTTGACTTGAACTTTGTCTGGTAAAAATTAAATTGGGATAACCACCATCCTCTGTGGCTGTGTAGATATTCAAGGGTTTTATAGTAGCGCCTAGCATGTGGTAATAGAAGGTTAGATGGCAACCATCAGAGGTCTGAGCTGCATCAATGACTGGACTCAACAGCCGTGCCTTCTGGCCTGTTATAGCTGGACTGGATGTCTCAACGTAAATATAATAGCCCGTGTCTAGTCCCGTGGTATGATCGATAGATGGGCCCGTGGCAAATGACGGTGTTTTCCCTTTGTTGCGCGTCCAGTCGAGTTGATCCTTAGTGTCTTGCATCCAGCCACAAAAGCCAGATTCAAAGGTGCACTGAGTAGAGGAGGAGCAATTGGCAGGAGACTCGTCAGTGCCATCACCACAGTCGTCAGACAAATCACACATATAGATTTCATCAATGCACACGCCGTTTTGGCATTTGACCTGGTTGGCTCCACAAGGGCTGGAAGAGGCGGCCGGGCTAGCACAGTTGACGAATGTGATGTCATCAATGGCTACAGAACCCTTGCTTGCAAAATCTTTTGTGCCTTCAATAAATACAACAATGTTGGCATGGTGATGACCAATGAGGATATCAGCCTTGGTCCAGCCCTTGGTGACATAAGGAATGCTGGCTGTCCACAGCTCCACAACATGAGATCCCACCTGAAAGAGGGGCAAAATCAGACAAAACAATTCAACTTAAATTGGAGGAAGAACATGTATGTGGAACAAAAAAAAGACATATTTATTGGAGCAAAAACACTCAAAGGTAATGATATGGTGAAGGCCGTTCTGGAATTTACATTACTTGTATGTGAATACGAGCTACAATAGGGCTTTTGGGTGTATCACCTGTGCTTTAACTCACCCAGCTCTATTGCTGATAATATCGGTATGTGCGTGCAATGCTCCAACCCTAACACCGACGGTATCGATATGGAAAATTTTCCTTTGTAACCGAAAACACTACTTTTGTGTGAAGCAGACTATAGCCTAATTAGAAGAGTAACCATTTTTCATTTGAAACATACTATGACCTGAAGTGCAAGCCCAAATTAAGATCAAAGAAAGCTATATTTGTGAAACATGTGAGGGGGAGTGAGAAATTTGAACGTACTTCCTTTCTTTTTGTTTACTTTTTGACTTGGTATATAGACCTTCTTCCACGGAGTATTTCATATAAACTATGACATACTTTGCCTTCAAATTTTCAATACACACAAATAAAGGTTTGAATAATATTGTGCGCAATATGTGGGTAGGATACGTTAAAATTTAGTATTTTTTTCAATTTTTCAAAAAGTGGTAAAAATATCTAGGGAGAACAGACAACCCGGAAGTGTAGGCCTAGGGTTGAGTGAGTTAAGCGTGCTGGAAAGATGCTCTAAAAGAGTGAGTTAAGCGTGCTGGAAAGATGCTCTAAAAGAGTGAGTTAAGCGTGCTGGAAAGATGCTCTAAAAGAGTGAGTTAAGTGTGTTGGAAAGATGCTCTGAAAGACAATCTAGAATAGTGCAGTGAGTCTGACAAGACATTACAATCTAAGGTCTGGTGAGGTAATGATAGCACACAGAGCATGCTGTAGAGCATGGATATTTGCTATATAAAAATGACCATTACGGCCATCATGTTATTATCAAAATCATTATCATAATTACTAATATTATCATTATTCTTATATTCTTATAATATTATTATTATTATTATTATTATTATTATTATTATTATTATTATTATTATTATTATTATTATATTACACTAGACACTGCCATAACAAGACAAGCTTTGCTCAAAACAATCAGTGGCCAGAAAAGGCAAACCTTTCACAATGTGATAGACTACCCATCTAAAACAGCATCCTACCATAAATACTTTGACCGGATTGCTTCTCTTTTTCATATTTCAAAAATTACCTTTACTCTAAAATGACACCCCTATACATACTTTGACCTGAACATCTGACTTTTCCATCTTAAAAAAAAACTACCATGACCGCCATGTGACATAAAAATCCTATGCACATCCACAATGGAAAGCCTTATTTGTTTACGGAGACATAGCGTAAATAGATGTACCTGGACAGAAACTCTCAGGTTGCCACCTGTGCGCTGGTAGTAGAACTCAAGCTGGCACTTCTCATACGTTGGTGGCAAAGTCGGTGTGGCCAGTGTTGCCCAGTTATCATAACGTCCGGAACTTCCGCTCACGTACATAAAGTGGCCACTCGTGTTACCAAAGGTGTGATCCGCACCAAACCTCTCCATCACGTCAGGTGCTGTCGAGTCCTTGGCTTGCTTCCAGCGGTAGGAACCATCAGAAACACTGGCCAGGCCACACGTATCCTGCTCAAAGGTACAACTTCCGCAGTGGGCTTCGTCAGAGCCTGAGTTACAATCGGCTTTGAAGTCACACACCTGAAATTTTTCATAAAAAACATATTTTTTGAAAAAAACTACAAAAACGCAGTTTGATAATCCAGTAGGCCTACTATTACAAAAATACTGCAGGCACTAGAAGATAGTACTATTTGGGTTTGTTTTTTTAGGGGGGGGGGGGGGGGAGGGTTCAGATACACATGCACCTTTAGCATTGTGTTCTACAAGTGGCTAAATAATTGTTTTTTGAAGTCTTAATTAAGATGAGTTAGCATGTGCTGATGTTTGTTTTCACTGCTGACGTCCATAGTTTGAGATTCCTTGGAAAATAGAAATGTACCATTTTTTTGGTGCCTTTACTCGATGTTTTTCAGTAGTATCCATACAGAAATGTGTACCTAAATGGACATAAAAGGTGTTGAGCAATAACAGAAAAATTCTATAAAAATGTCCAAACTGATGGAAAAATGCAGTTTTCTTTGATTTCAACATTTTGACGAGCACCTAATTTCACCACGATGCCGCAGAAATGTAGTAACTGATGTATTAAGTGTGTGCTGACCTGATCTGCTGGCAGAGATTTCCCAGAGCCGTCACTACATTGAAACCTCGGGGGAGGTCCGGAGCACAGCCCTGGACTGACTGTAATATCATCCAAAGCAATGTCACCGTAGAGTGGGTCTCCTGTTTTGGCTTCAAACAAGATCTGATACGGCTTACTGGATGTGATGTTCAACTGAAAATTACAACGGAATCAAATTTGGAAAGTTTGCAATGTGACAAATGTAAAAATGGAAGGAAAAAGATCATTGATCATTCGCATGAACTCAGCATATAATTTGGCTTTATCATGAAGAGAGTCTTTGAATTCTCACTGTATGTGAGACCAAGCTATACTTGCTGTTGGAGGCAAAAAGAATGGACATAATAATATATGTTTTTACCTAACCTTGAATACAGACATCCCTAGGTGACTGCACAGGCAGATGAAAAACTTAGGACTGAACCTGTGTCTGGCCCACCTCAACATCCCACGGTAAAAAATACTTCGGTAAGTGGTCAATGTATATTATGTCAGAAGTCAGTGTACACGTAAGTAGTCAGTATGTGAGGCAGCGTGGTGGAATCAGGCTCTCGTCAAAATAATCAAAGTGAAGAAACTTGCATTTTTCTGCTGGTTTTTTAAATTTTTATCCAATTTTTGTTTTTTGGCTCAACACCTTTCATTCCCATTTAAAAACTCATTTCTGTGTGGATTGTTCATAAAAACATTGATTAAAGGCACAGAAAATGTAAATTTTCAGTTACCACGGACTCTAAAGCTAAGCAAATAGCTAATCTTTAGCGGCCATTTTCTCACTAACAGTACCTCTGAAAACAGGTGATCTCCACCTCCTTCTTTTGCAAATATCCCGACTTGTATTCAAGATAAATGGATACTTTTTTCTTCCAAATAAAGACCAGTGAACAAGCTTTAAGATGATACTAATAACTCTTCAATCCCAAAAATTGACGAGAGCCTGATTCCACCACGCTGCCTCATATATATATAATATGCATAGGTGGTCAAAGTATACGTAAGTGGTCAATGTATACGTAAGTGGTCAATGTATACGTAAGTGGTCAATGTATACGTAAGTGGTCAGTGTATACGTAAGTAGTCAATGTATACGTAAGTGGTCAATGTTTACAACATACAACCATACAGACTACCTCGAATATCAGATATTTAAAGCCAGAAGTGAAATTCTCCAGCACAAAGTATCAGGCAGAAGGTGCCCCATAAAGCACATCTTAAGCGGTGGTCCCATGCATTAAAACTATAGTGCGATCATAATTCATGGCGCAACTTATCCTTAAACATCTCCTTAACAGGTGAACGTGCAATGTCACCCATACTTTGAATAGCAGTTTGAGTATCAATTTGTCTTAGCTTAATCATATTTTTCCATATCTAGGCTAAATTTTAAACCTTTTTTAAAATGAATTTACATGTATATAAAATACTATAAATCTCCGTCATGAGGAAAATGGGATTGTTCACAGCACTTCCCGCTTCTCATACAAATTTTGTTCACACATATGGCCTACCTCACAGCTCACCAATGGTACTTTTTATGCGCAAAACTTCTTACAAGAAATAAATTTATGGTGAACACATTTTTTGCATTAAGGTTCTCAAAACAGGCGTTCAATAAGCACAATATAGCATTTACAAAAAAATGATGGACTTGCTTTTTAAAGCAATATTGCCCTCGCTGCAAACCATTTAAAATCTGTTGAAACCACCCACTTCCGTTTTTTGTTCGTATTTAGTAAGGAATTTTCTAGCCGGTGTTTACAAAAATATATATCCTTTAACTGTTTGCCATCCCATCTTGCCGATCGGCAAGTACACCGAACTTCCGCTCCCATCACAAAACGGCGATCGGCGATGTTTACCACCCAGTTTCTTTGGATTTCCCCCAAAATTCTTGTAAAGGCAAGGGCTTTTACTATATGAGCCTTTTGATGGCAAAATGTTAAGATAAATTGATACAAGTCATTGTGCAAAGCTGGAGTATCTGTGTTCAACAGTTTCGGAAATATTTGACAACAAGTTGAGCCACGAATTTTTGCCTCACTATAAGAGCAGAAACAGCACATATATTACCATCAACTCTTAAATCCTGGTAAAGATAAATTGGTACCTTTGTTTTTTTGTTTCCTGTTTTCTGCCAACACAAATTTGTAAGAAAATAAATAGAAACAGAAGTCATATCAGGAATTTTCAACAATCGAGTCAGGAAACTTCCACCTACACGCAAAAGCCAAAACATGGAAACAATTCTTTAGAGGCAAGCTATCGGTCAGACCAATAAAGGTTGAGAAGGAAATAGCTTTCCAACAAACAGACCAAGATACTCAAAAACGTAACCTCCCTGCTCGTAAAATCAAACTCATACCTTCTGTATACAGCAGTGAAAAGCTTGACACCTTCTGGACAGGCCCCATACCAGCTGATCCTATCCCCAGGACCAGAGCCGCCGCCCACATCCCTTGTAGATACTCGTTTTAAAGACATTTTTTCACTTCTAATCAACTCAAACTGGCTTCAACTTCGGTGAATTCGAAAGGGAAACAACTCTTCTGTGCTTGAACAAGCAGTCGGAAAACATGGATAATTTTGAAAAAATCTGGACTAGCTTGAAATAGCGGTATTGCCATCGCGTAAATATACGTCGATGGTTCAATTCGGTAGGGCGCAGATCGCATTTTATATGTACGTCTGTGGTCCCGAAGGTGTTAACCATATTATTATATCATAGATGCCTGTGTAGCCAAATTTACGAACAAAAAAAAAAGATACTGAATGTCCAAAGCGAGCCCACTTGCTGAACTTCTTAAATGTCTGTGTTGGCCAGCCACAGTAAGAAAGAGTACAGGGCTATATCATTGATATAGAGTTAATCAGCAGCTCGGTCCAAGACTTAAAATTAATTCAATCTACTATTTCATTCTTTAAGTGTTACAAAGTTTTTTTAGAGGGAAGTTGGTAAAAAAGGAGGGCTGATTGCAATTTTGAACTGATACATTTTTTTCTCCTTTTCTTTCTAACTTGAAGTAACCAGTAGCAAATGTTTAGAGATATGTTTTGAAATGCCAGCTACCATTGCCATCAAGTAAAGTCTGTAGCGTTTTGGTTCGAATCCTCACGGTTGCATGCAAGACAGCATTTTGATTTCCGTGCAATGACCCTTATCTTTACAGTGTTGTTGTCTTTCTGCTGCAATGCTGTATCCCACCTCATATAATAATATAGTCTAACTGTTTCTATCTGGGCATTGAACCTTTACAATTAAGCAGTCATGCAGAGGCAAATGTGTCATGACGCAGTGGAATCATGCATTAGTCAGTTTTGGGGCTAGGGGAGTTATTGGTATCATCTCAAAGCTTTTTCATTAGTGTTGTTTTCAATTACAAAAGTGTTCATTTATTGAGATGTTTGTGTTTGAAGGAGGTTGGGATCCCCCGGTCTCAGAGATAAAATTAGTGAGAAAATGGCCACCATAGTTTAGTTATTTCCTTAGCTTGAAAGTTCATTGTTTATGCCTTTAATTGGTGTTTTTCAGTAGGCCAACAATCCACACAGAAATGTGTTCTTTAATGGACATGAAGGTGTTGAGAGCCAAAAACCAAAAATTTAATAAAAATTCCCAAACCTGCAGAAAAATGCCAGTTTTTTTCACTTTCATTATTTTGACAAGAGCCTGTTTCTCCATGCTGACTCACAATTACACTTGGTTTTTTTATTCTTGGGTTCCACTCTGAGGCTGTGTGCAAAAGAGAGACTTTTGAGGCCCTGCTCTTGCTATGGGACTTTGCAAACAAATGTGTCACAACATGGTGGAACCAGGCGCTAGTCAGTTTTGGAGCGTTTGAAGTTATTGATATCATCCTAAAGCCTGTCCATTTGCCTTGCTTTAGATTTTTAAAATCCATTTATCTTGAATACAAGTCAAGATATTGACGATTGAAGCAGGTGGGGGTCGCCTGGTTTCAGAGGTAAAATTAAGAAGAAAATGGCCAAAGTTGAGTTATTTCCTTAGCTGGATAGTATGTGGAAACTGAAAACTTTCATCCTTTATGCTTTCAATCAATGTTTTTCAGTAAAATGCGCAGAGACATGTGTTTTTTTACAGGAAATGAAAAGTGATGTGCCAAAAAACAAAAATTCGTTAAAAATCCCCAAACCTGCGGAAAAATGCCAGTTTCTTGACTTTCATTATTTTGACGACTGCCTGATTTCACCACGCTGCCTCACAAATTCATACATAACTAGAAATATAATATTACGGCATTGTCGTGCCTTGAGAATCAGCTCAGTCACTGCATATTAAATATTAAAGCATTCTCGCAGCTCTTAATTACTGCTCACAAAATTACCTGTTTTTGATCCCATACAAAAGCTCCTGAATATTTGCTGACTGTCATTTTATGTATGAGGTGGCTGTCGCCTAAGATATCATCATCTAAGAGAACAGTCAAAGACCCCTGAGAGATTGAAGTGATGAATCCAGTGTCGAAGTAGACAAAGAAGGTCAGGCATGAGCCATTGGTTGAGGGTAGTGCCTCTGATATGAGCTGCGCAGTGTCACCCTTGTTACTCTTATCTGAGTACGCTATCATGAAGTGACCTAAAGAAGATAAGCGAAACAGAGGGATGAAGTAAATCCAGGGACATATTTTGTTAAATTCTTTGGAATTCTACATTGTTAGTTAAGATGACCCAATAGTCTTGCAACTTTTATGATCAAATGTTGACAAGATTTCCCCATATGTAAAGTTTTGAGTTTAAAAAAAATATGTAATTGATGTTCTAATATGAAAGATTATAAAGGACATCAAGCTGTAATATTAAAGATGAATAAATGAGCAACAGTATGTTCCAAAGCATTAATAACCTGTTAGGTCCTATTGCATAAGAAAAGATATTCTATATTCAAAGGCCTTCTGTTAGATTTTTTACAGATTTGCAAGCCCTCTTTTCAATATGTATATTACATTTTCAAAGAAGAAAATTCATTCATAATAATAAATCAGCAAGCAAAATTCTCAGTTGAAGCAAAAGGAATTAATTATTTAGAAAGTGACAGCCCATTGCAAGACTCCTTCATATGTCACTTTTCTAAAGGCATATGGCAGAGTCTTACACTATGCAATCAATAGAAATGTACCCTGGACTCCCAGTGTGTGGTCTGCATAGGGGCCACGGCTAGAATAAAAGTTATCAGCTGGATCTTGATTGATGTCCCAGTCGAAATCATCTGTACCCTCTCTGTTGCTGTATAGGCAGAAACCGTTTTCAAAGTCACATGACCCCGGGGCAGGACAAGGACCATCCGAAATAGAGAGGTCATCAATGGCCATGTCGCTGGCTATTCCGTTGACCGTTCCCTCAAACACAATCTGTATCAAGACAATGTGATGTTGAGGCATTAATGATAATTGCTACTACCTTTACAGGTGCTGAAATACATTGGTTGTTACCTTAAACACAAAGACAATGTGACATTAAGGCATTAACAATAATTACTGCTACCTTTACTTGCACTGATAATAGAATATCAGAAAAATGTAATGAAAATGATTTTCAAAACTATCATTGCGAAAACACATAGAATGACATAATTTTTGCTCTAATGGTTCAGCAGCCAGCACCGCCCAAGAGTAGGAATACTCCCTCGAAGACAAGGCATGACATAGTCCAGCTGTTGAGATATATAAGTATTTCATCTCAAATGATAAAGTGTAATGCCAGTGTAGCTAGCCACACATTCAAACATCACTGCAAAGAAAGCTGCATAGAGAGTGGCAACTGGAACACATTCTCTTTCAGTGATTTCCCTGAGATGGAAAACAGATATCTACAATAGAGATTAGGGTGTGCAAATCCAATAAAAGAATCAAGCCAGCGTGTCTAATAGATGACAGCTGTTTGCAGACTTACCAAATAGGTCCTAGATGACAGCTGTTTGCAGTCATATCTAATAGATGACAGCTGTTAGCAGTCATACCTAATAGATGACAGCAGTGTGTAGCCTTACCTAATAGACAACAGCTCTTTGCAGAATTACCTAATAGATAACAGCTGTCTGTAGATTTACCTAATCTAATAGATAACAGCAGTTGGCAGACTTACCTAATTTAATAGATGACAGCTGTCTGCAGTCTTACCTGATAGATCGCAGCAACTTCCTGCGATGATGCCTATTCTCCTACTAAGTAACCATGTAAGTAAGAAGACAGCTGTGAGAAGTCTTACCTAAAAGATGACAGCTGGTTGAGGTCTTACCTGGTAACTGACGCTGCTGCTGATGTTAAATTCGGCGGGCAGCCAAGAATCCTTGTGGTTCCCACTGAGCGTCAATACAGGCGGGTTCAGTCGGTTTTGGCTTTTAAGATACACTTTCAGAGTGCCCATGCTAGTGCCATACATATGGTAGAAAAACTTGGCGCATTTCGCAGTGGTGGGACTATGCACTGGTCCAATGACACGAGCGACATCTCCCGCCACTCGGGGGGAAGATGCTTCTGTGTAAATGTAGGATCCTGAATAATACAGAAAAAAAAAGTGAAATGAGTGAGTGGAACCAAAAAGGTGTACATGTACTAAACGATACAGAGAAAAAAGGGAAATGAGTAAATTGAACAAAGAAAATATACAAGTATGAACCTGAAAAAAACAGAGAAAAAAGTGAAAAGAGTGAATGGAACAAAAAAAGCAAAAACAAATACCACATGTCCAAAAAGATGCTAGCATGATTTTTACAGTAATAAGTGGCTTCCACTGTGTGCATATGTTTTGGCAATTCAAATTGTTCTTGTGTTTAATAGCTTAAACAAAGCTGGCCAGTTTTGTTAAATGCAAATTTTGAATGCTTTTTTGAAAGCAGCTTTTTTGACAAAACCAATACAAAGTAGTTATACAGCTAGTATTTGAGCTCTTATATGAAAGGATTGAATCTCATTTTTTGTTTTTGTAAAGTGTTTTACGGCGCTCGCAACTGCATAAGGTCATATGAGCGCGCGGGACACACCTAATATTTTCAGTTGGTAGGAAATTTTGAATTTTGCCCGGGTGGCGGCCGAAGCCTACTCTTATCGATTTTAGACCACCAAGGGATCTTTAACGTGCGCAACTTGCACACGGGCCCTCCGAGATTTTTCGCCCTTGTCCGAGAAGGCTAGGTGTAGATCTTTCCCACCAGAAGATCAGGGGTGTGGCAGAAAGACAGCAGTAAGGAGGAGCCAAGGAGTAACAGTAGAAAGGCTGCAGAAAGAGTCAGGATCCCAGATGAGGGAGCAAAGGAGATGCGGGGTGGGGGCAGAAAGTGGAATTGAAAGCAGACGACAGAACATTGCTAGAGAGCAGGAAAGGAGGTGAAAGGAGACAATTTTAGAGAAGAAAATTTTTCGGTTGCTACCCGGATTCGAACCCGGGACCTTTGAATGAGAGGAAAACACCTTAACCTCTAGGCCACGAGAGCCCCCCATTGAATCTCACCCAAAAACCAAAATTAATTAAAATTCTGAGAGAAGAAAACCTTTTTTATAATATGTGAACAGAACTTTAAGACATTGTCCAAAAACGATCTAGAAGAACTAATCACACAGTGATCTCTATTAACGTACAAGAGTCATCAGCCTCTTTTTGCTCCATTTTCGTAACTGAAACTCATACTGACAACATTTCCCATAGAAACCAAGAGACAACCAGGAAGAAGATTTTTACATCATCCTTCCTCCCCTGGCCCTGTATCTCGTATATAAAGTAAGAAAAAAATATTTCTAAAAAATAACATATCTCCTCCTCCCCCCCCCCCCCCTCCACCCCTACCTGTCCCAATCTAAAAAAAAAAATTGTTTAAACTATCCGCCGCCCCCCCCTTTTTTTTTTCTTTTTTTTTCCCCCCCCCCCCCCCCCCCCCCCCCCACCTACCTACTCTCTGAACCTGTCCACAAATCCCCTTTAACCAGTATCGTAATTTGCTGAACTGTTTCTATTAGACATGCTTTGTGTAAATAATTCAATGGATACCGTACTTTTTCAGCTTAAAGAAATCTTTGCCTTTTTTTAGAGACTGTTTGTTCTATTTACAAACCAGATCCAATTACAGGCAAACAACTGCTAAATCAAAAGTTTGGTAATCTAGCATTGTGCTTGATGAATCGATGAAGCATAAATGTGAGGTGAGCTGACAAAATGAGTTACTTCTCGCAATCCATGCCTGGAGATGTCAGCTGAAATTAGACACATAAAACTTTTAGATTTTGACCTGATTTGGTTTTTTTCTCTCAAGTTAAGTATGTCTTTCATTAGTTCGCATAATAAGTTGTACAAGCCAAACCCATAAATCTGGAGTATCTATCTGTGTCCGTGGTGCTTAGGGCCTATATAAATCTGAGTATCAACCCATTTTGAAAGAACGCCTCATAAACTGACCCTGTGTCATGCAGGGGTTGACCTACCTGCAGCGGAGTCATAGGTGTGGTCAGACTTGGGACCAGTTCCGTACGAATCTGTAGAACCACTGGCTCTTGTCCAAGAGAAGTCTGCAGTTGCATCATTGGTAAATCCGCAGATTTTGCTGTCCTCAAAGTCACACAAACCTGTCACAAGATGTTTGTTTTTCATTCTTTTATTATTTTTTTAAAAGTGAGTGTTCACAACTGCAAAAGGTCAAATGAGTGCGCGGTACATATTAAACATTTTCAGTTAATAGGAAATTTTAAAAATTTTGCCCAGGTGGTGGCCGAAGCATACTCTTATCAATTTTAGACAACCAAGGGATCTTTAACGTGCTCAACTTGCACATGGGACCTCCGAGATTTTTTCCCTTTGTTCGAGAAGGCTAGATTTTACCCACCATAAGATCAGGGTGTGGCTGAAAGACAGCAGTAAGAAGGAGCCAAGGAGTAGTTGTAGGAAGGCTGCAGAAAGAGTCAGGAGCCCACAGGGGGGGGAGGGGACAAAGAAAGTGAGGGGGTTTGGTGAAAGTGGAGATGAAAGCAGACGGCAAAACATTGTTAAAGAGCACAGAAGGAGGTGAACTGAGAAAATTTTAGAGCAGAAAGTTTTTTAAAAATGTTGTTTGTTTTGTTTGAATAAAGAGAAGCACATTGATACAGTAATAGTCACTTAGTGTAGAGCCAAAGCAAAAACAGTTAGACAGACAGATGGAAACAATAGAGGGATAGTAAAGGTGCTTGTATGTTAGTTTGAGCAAAGATAGTGAATAACAAGATGGGCCACTCAGCCAAAAAAGTGTCCGCAGGAAGTATGCTCTTTACTTCAGATGGCGCTGCAGTCTGTTTTGAAGCTCTCTTTCGTTTTTCCAGAAGAAGAATAGGAATAGCACCTCCTTGCGTGCGCAGATCGACTGCTGTTCATCAGCAGTTCAGGTACGTTCAGTGCGGAGTTTTAGTTTTTTTAAATTTTAATGACCTCTCGCCTTTCATTCTAAAGTCAAATTAAATGAAGAAAACCATCACCCTTTCCTCCGGAAGAGGTTTTTTGTCAGCGTAACCATTTTAAAAAAGCGTTCTCCCTAAATTTATCCCAAAACTTGCTAGTTTCACTTTGATTTTTTAAACTCAAGTAGGGTAACTCTGTTCGCAAAGAGTGCGCTTTTGTGAAGAGGGCGCCACCAAATTTTGAGGACACTTTTTTAATTGGCTCAAAGAGAGAAGTGGCCCATCTTGTTATGTACTATCATTGGTTTGAGTGAAGAGAAGCCTATCAACACAATAATGGTCATTTAATACTGGAGAAAAGTAAAACAGACAGACAGAAACAACAGAGGGGAAAGTAAAGAAGAAGGACCTACCAGTGGTGCCCCCCAACCACCCAACTAGCAAAGGTGCAATGTGTAGCACCACAAGACATACAGAGTTCATTTCAAAGGTGGACCACTTTACTCTTTAATTGTAGAAGAGAAGGAGAGAAAAAAAGACAGGCAAGAAAATTCTAAAGAAAATAGGTGTATAAAAGTGCAAACGATAAAATGTCAGCATACAGCTGGTGTGTTAAAACATTAACTACTTCTGTGCCTGCAGGTGGTAAAAGCACACCATGTCTTCAGTAAGTTAATTTCATGTTTTTGAGTGAAAAATGAAATAAATAAAAATAATAAATATGCTCACAAAGGTACACAAGAAACAACCCCCCCCCCAAAAAAAAAACAGGTTCGTGAAAGTAAGTTGGTTGTTGTTGTTTTGTTGTTGCTTTGTTGTTGTTTTGTTGATGTTGTTGATGCTGTTACTAAGTAAGTTGTGAGAGGAGGCAAGTGTGTGCTCACCTCCATGTTCCAAACAGGATCCCGTGTGTTGCTCAATATCATCAAGGCCAATGTCTCCTTGGTATCCAGATTCCATGACACCTTCAAACACCATCTGAAAGTTTTTTTCAGGAAGAGTTTTACCGCACTTGCAACACAATATAGTCATGTAACTGCCGAAGATTAGGGGTTCTACAAGAGAGTAACAAACATGAAAAAGAAGGAGGAAAGATTAGGCCAATAGATGTTTAATAGGAAAGAAAGAGTAAACTAGACCAGAGCACCCACCAACCACCCACCACCATCTGAAAGAAACAAGACTCTTATTTCTTGACAGACAGACAGACAGACAGACAGACAGACAGACAGACAGACAGACAGACAGACAGACAGACAGACAGACAGACAGACAGACAGTACAGCCAACTATTCTGTGTATGAACAAGTTAATAATTTAAAATCTTACAGAGAAAAAGAGTAAAAGTGAATCCAGCATCTTTCCCCTCTCAACATGATGTCACAGAGCAGAATGTATATACCTGCCTTTGGCGTGTGCAGTGGTTTGAAAACTAAATGTAAAATCACTCCTTTTATCAATGTACAACACACATACACTTAATACCACAAAAAGATATAAATATATAGCCTACATAACGTCACCGCATTTCGCTATTTGCATATGGAACAGTCAGATACGTTTGAGAAAATAAAAATACTTTTCTATAAGTCTAATACACATTTTAGCCTCTTGATTTTGTACAATTTATAATAAAAATTATTGTGAATTATTGATGAAAAAAAGATTTTAAGATTGTGTTTAGGTCAAGGCGATGCTGGAGTGAATCTGTAGCAGACACCCAAGGAGCTCACGGGATGTCCCTCCTACAAGCCACTCGTCTTGCTTCAGACAGACGCCTGTATCTACCCGCGACACCCACTGGTAAAAGCCGAAAAAAAAGTAAAGTAAAGTAAGTAAAGTAAGTTTAGGTCAAATGCCTTTAGACTGGGCTTTTCAAATTTTGTTCCCTATGCAGATAGCAACCGGCAAAGATGATATACGAGGTCCTACAAATTCATGAAATAATACATCAAAGCAGAGACTGGGAAGCTCGGAGGCCTGTTATACCAAAGATCGTACATAACAAGATAGTTCACCCCTCTCTTTGAGCCAATTGAAATAGTGTCCTCCAAATTCGGTGGCGCCCTCTTTGAAAAAGAACAGAGTTACCCTTCTTGCGTGAAAAACCATAAAAGTGAAACTAACAAACAGTACTATTCCTATTCTTCTTCTGGAGAAACGAAAAATAGCTTCAAAACAAAAACTGCAGCGCCATCTGAAGCAATGCACGGCCTTCCGCAGACACTTTTTAGGCAGAGTGAACAATCTTCTTATGTACGATCTTTGGTTATACAGTAGAACATGACTATAGCAGCACCCGTGAGACCAACCCTACCGCGGGACCTTACCGGAATCCCCGGTTTTTTTCCTATGTAAACTCAATTACTTATGCTTTTTTTCAGCAGGGCAAGGAAATTTACGAACTCGGATACAGTGGAAGAGATCAAGTGAGCTCTAGTTGGGGGGGGGAGCTGTAGACAGGCTCCAAACAGGCAGTCAGCAGTGCTGTGTTGCGATTGGTTAGTCTAGTGATGAGTGAGGTGGGGCAGGCGGCAGAGAGAGATGGTGCGGAGAGACGCGTTACTTGAGCCACTCTAAAAGTGATGTGCCATAGCCTAGACGTTAAGTATAAGCATAGGCTAGCCAGATAGCAAAAGAAGAGGAGAGCAAGTTGATCGATCTAGTGTGTGATTCCTGATTCATTGAATTGTGATCTTTGATCTAAGGCATATGCACGCCTCCATTTCACCAGTTCTACATCGAAGTTGACAAGAAAAGGAAGACCAATCTAAAGCTCAAATTTTATTGATGTTGAAGGGAGGTAATCGTGTGGATTTTCATAAATTTTCCAGTAATTTCCCCTTTGCATTCCTGTAGCGGGAACTTGCCTGCAGCAGGATTTTTCTTCTAGAACCAAAAGTCCTGCTGCAGCTGTGTTCTACTGTACCAAGGAGTGGGGCACCACCAGAACAACATCGCCATGGTGACAAGTAAAAAGTGATATAGATAAATATACTAAATGTACTCATATATACACAGGCAGTACCTTTATTGAGGGGCTAGCAGGGTGTTGCAAGATAGCTGTTGTGATGTGAATGGTGCTGAGCATCCAACGCTGTCCTTGATCTCCTACTCGCGACCACAGTGGATTTCCTCGGGAGCCTACAAACAGAGCATATTAGATTTTGCCAGAAAACTGTAACTGTCATCACATTATCACAAGACTAATAATACTGTGAAACAGTTGTGTGCATTGCATTGACAGAACACACAGGTAGAACCAGAATAGAGTAGCATCCTTAACCCTTTGAGCCCTGACCTATTGAGGCTACTATGCCCCTATGCCTGAGCTCCTGAGTGGCGTCAGTAGCCTAGTGGTTAGGCTCTCGGACTCGCAACCGTAAGGTTGAGGGTTCGAATCCCGTCAGGGGCCCTATGTTGTGTCCTTGGGAAAGGCACTTTACACAAATTTTCCTCACTTCACCCAGGTGGGAATGGGTACCCGGCAATAGACAGCGAAGGATCTTGTCAGTTTGTTAGTGTTAAAGCGCTTAATTAGTTGCTTGCACTGTATACTTCCTGGGAAGCTGAGAATGTTTCGGAGTGTTCTATGGTCTGCTGGGGTAATAATATAGTGTAAAGCGCATAGAGCCTGCTGTTTAGCGGGGATATGCGCTATACAAATGCTATTTATTATTATAATACTTATTTAAAAAAGATAATCAGAATCACTTTCCATATCCCAATTGACAGGGTAGTCCTTATCATTACAAGCATCTAATTCAGAAAAATCTTCAAAATAATCAATAATATCCTGTAGAGTAAACACCATTTCCCGTGTGTGCATTTTGTCCCAAGCTAGCCGGGCTGGAGATAAGGTCTCGCTCACCAATGAATGTACCGGTGGCTAGGCATACAGGAAATTTCATAAACCAGTAGCAAGGGCTCAAAGTGTTTTAAAAAATTGTGCCAATGGATGATGGAAAAACACCACAATTTAAAAAAATTATAGGGGTTTTTTTTTAAGAGAAACATTTTGTATCAGATTTGTCTCATGAAGAGGAGGAGGAGGAGGAGGAGACGAAGAAGAAAAAGAAGATGAAGAAGAAGAAGATCTAACCATACACATATGAACTAAAGATTAAAGCCTGGTTTTTGAGCATTAGAACCAGGCTTCATATCTTAAGACCAGTGAGCCCCCTGGTTTAAGACTAGTTTGAATATAATAATAACATTTATAATAATAAATTGTTTTTATATAGCGTTTTATCCCATATGAGTAAAGCTCTGAGCACTTTACATAGATGACATGATCACTGCGTTTAATACTTCATTCACATAAGATAAAAAACATTTCGCGTTAACAAAAAAAAACCCTATTCAACCAATAAGGACAAGCTTTTTCAACCATAAATTAATGATATGTGAGGCAGCATGGTGGAATCAGGCTCTCGTCAAAATAATGAAATCGAAGAAAACAACAGTTTTCTCCCCGCTTAGCAATTTTTATCAAATTTTTGTTTTTTTAGCTCAACACCTTTTATGTTCATTTACAAACACATTCCTTTGAGGATTTCACCAAAAAACGTTGATTAAAGGCACAAAAATATAAATTTACAGTTTCCATGGACTCTCCAGCTTTAGAATTTACCAAGCTTTCGCGGCCATTTTCTCGCTAATTTTACCCCTTAAACCAGGTGACCCCGAACTCCTTCAATCCTAAATATCTCCATTTCTATTAAAGATGGAGGGATAATTTTTTCATCGAAAGCAAGACAAATGAACAAGTTTTAGGATGATACCAATAACTCAATATGCCCAAAAATTGACGAGAGCCTGATTCCACCACACTGGCTCAAATATACACGTAAAGACAACAGTTAAAAAAAGTGGAAAGGTGGAAACACTAACCTCCCTGACTAGCATAGACGTTCAGCGTGCCAATGTCACCTCCGTGCATGTTGTACCAGAACACAAGGCAGATGCCGTCTGCTGGCACGCTGATGTCACGGCTGATCAGCCGAGCTGTGTCGTTCTTTGACTTGCCTGAACTCTCTGTATAGATATATGTTCCTGTAATAAAAAAAGACCAAAGTTTAATGTTACCAGAGAGAAATTGAACTTTTTTAAAATGTAATATTTTCATTGCACTTGCAACTCAATTAGATCCCACAAGTGCAAAAGATTAGATGTGTTACAAGAGAGTAGGCTAACAAACATGCACACACACACACACACACACACACACACACACACACACACACACACACACACACACT